CTAATGCCGACAAACCCCCCTCCCCCCTCTTCCCCCGCCGCCGCAGACTACCACCGTACGCTGCCCGCCGCCAGTGCCGCGCGCCCCTATTTTTATTTTTTAAGAAAAACACAAAAAACTGATTTTATGAGAAGGTGTTTATGGGACGAGCTAAAGCACCTCACCTGCAAAAATCTTCTAAATTATACACACCTCGTAAAACCATTTTTAGGAAGAGTTTCATATGGTACTTGTTGAAGATGCTCGGGCATCTTCAAAGCCGATCCGCAAACCGCTCGCATCCGTATGGATCGCAAAAGCCATCTAACGTGGGCCTGTATCGATCCGCGGAGCGGGCCGGACACGATTTCCCCCGTAAACCGGAGACAAAGTGGGGGAGGGCTTTTGGGAGTACGGACACGCGAAACGTAGGAATCCGACACCCCCAGCCCACCAAAAAACCTCCACGGACCCCGCGACTCCATCCTCCCCATTTTCTCTCCTTCCTTCTTTCCCTCTTGCCTTCGCCGCCGTTCCACCACCTCGGCTACCACACCGCACACAAGCCAAAACTCTACAACTCCAGCACCTCCAGCGCTCTAGCAATGCTCCATAACGCTTGTCCTCCGTCTCCGTTCAACTCCTGTCCTCTGACTGCCCCGCCAGGTACCATCCGCTGCTACTATTCTCACCATCCCCGACAACTGTTCGATGAATCATGGAAGCTAAAAATAGTTGTCCCTTTTTCTTTCTAGCAATGAATTTCGATTTGAAGTACATATACAAGAAGTATGTTGAGCCTTCCGACGGCTCATCGGACGAGGAGGAGTACTCTGGTGAGACAACAATGGTGCAGGCGATCCTTGAATACGCGGAGCATGCGGAGTGGAAATCTCAGCCGGGCAAGGGCCATGAAAACGGCCGGGGTCGACCCCTTCGTTGGGCACCAAATGCGGCGGTACGCTCCCCGGACCGATTCGGCCCGGGTATTTCCCAGCCAGGGAAAGGAGGGGGATCCCGAGAGGATCCCTGGTTACCAAATGACATGGAGAAACAGACACAGCACGGCTCTCTCTCTCTTTCTCTCCTTCGCCACAGTGCACGCACGGCCGGCGCACTATTTTAACCCACCGCGCGCCACAAACCGCAGGTGTCTTCAACTCCAATCCATCACTGCTGCGCCTTGCTTCGAACCTACTCCCTCCGTTCCAAAATAGATGACCCAACTTTGTACTAAAGTTAGTACAAAGTTGAGTCATCTATTTTGGAACGGAGGGAGTACTTGATCGCTGCCTCACCTCACTCACTCACTCCTCTCCGTCTCTCTCGCCGAGTGAGCTTGCGGTTCTTGCCACGCACGCTTCCACCACATATACCTGACCATATATACCCACCAGGCAACGATCCATCGGGAGGAAGCAACCGCCGTCGATCATACCGATCGCCATTACATACACCGGCATTGCCTAGCTCGTCAGTATAGCTAGCTACGAGGCCAGCAGCTGCCGCGCGACGGGATCGATAGAATGGGGCGTCCATTGTCCGGCGGCGTGGGGCAGCCCAAGCTCCGCAAGGGGCTGTGGTCGGCCGAGGAGGACGAGACCAGGCTCGCCGGGCTGAACCGTTGCGGCAAGAGCTGCCGCCTCCGGTGGATCAACTACCTCCGCCCCGACCTCAAGCGCGGCTGCTTCTCGCAGCAGGAGGAGGACCACATCGTCGCGCTCCACCACATCCTCGGCAACAGGTATGGCCGTCCACGCAATGCATTCAGTTCTTATTAATTTTGCACCGCAGAAAGGTTTGGAGCTAGTACTGATGCGTGTGTGCGTGCAGGTGGTCTCAGATCGCGTCGCACCTGCCGGGCCGGACGGACAACGAGATCAAGAACTTCTGGAACAGCTGCATCAAGAAGAAGCTCCGGCAGCAAGGCCTCGACCCGGCCACGCACAAACCCATGGCCGCCGCCTTCACGGCCACGGCGGCATTGCCGGACGCGGAAGAGGAAGACTGCAAGCCCCTTGCCGCGGGTGCGGACGGCATCCTCGCTCCGAAGCAGCCGACGGTGTTCGACCCGTTCCCGGTGTGCGCCGACTACGGCGCTGGGTTCGCCGACGACCTCGGCGCGGCGAACGCGGCGGCATTGTATGGCCAGTTCTGCGGTGGAAACGAGGGCGCGGACGAAGACGCCGGGTTCGGCGCCGCAGACTACAGCTGCGTGCTGGACGTGTCGGAGAACCTGGGCTACGGGGAGAGCTCCAGCAACAGCAGCAACCGGAACTACGGCGGCGAGGTGGGCAGCATGCTCGACGGCGAGGTGGGAAGCATGCTCGATGGCGAGGTGCTACACTGGGCCAAGCCGGAGCCGGCCTTCGCGGAGATGGAGTATGAGTTCTCGCTGCCATGCCAAGAGCAGAGCCTCCTCCCAAATTTCGAGTTCAACTTGGAACACTACTTCTGACATTTTTTTCCCTTTTTCATTTAAAAAATATATAGTAAAATACCCGTGCGTTGCTACGGGGCATTGCGTATTTTATTAGAACTTCTCCTTTTATTTTACTGTTAAAAATCTTTCTATCTTCATCTTAATATTGACCACTGCACCATGAGCTGAAAATCATAGTTAAATTCGTCATAAGAATAAACAAGGACTCGCAACAGCAAGCTGGACATAATACATGTAAAATAATAAAAGATTGTTAAAATACAAACTTCATATTGTTATAGTACAAATAAAAAAAAGATGGGCCCTCGGCGCTGCTTGACGCTACGATGGCCTGGTAGCCTTGGTGTTGTTCTATCAGGCGGCGAACCGGTGGCCGCGGCGCTGCTGCACTCGATTGCGACCCGGCAGCCTCGGGACTTCCCCGCTGCGAGGACGACCAGGCGGACTCGGCACTGCTCTAATCCGAGGACGAGCCGACTGCTTCAGCACTGCCCACACAACGGCGTTCCAACAGCAGCGGCTACTTGTACCTAACTGAATGTGCAATGACGTTGTACGTGAAGCAGAGTAGCAGACAACGTTGCTGATGCACTATATTTGTAGCTATGTTCTAGTTTATCTTGAAACATGTATGAGGCATGCTGGCACTTTGCTTTTAAGCTCTTGTGCTAGCTATATGGCGGTGAGAGCTGGGTACATTGGGGTCATTCAGGCATTCTGTATTCTTTTTTTATCAGTAAACTCATCCCATACATCTTTTACGAATTTACTCCATGTATGAAGTTAATATTCATACATATTCTTCCATTTTTAAACAAACATATTCATACATTGGAGTAGTCTGTTGCTGTCAAGTACAAACAGAATCCATGTATGTAGGAGTGCATGATGTGTTGCTTGTCAATCAAATATAGTCTACTGTCGGCAACAGCTATATAGGCTACAGTAAACTGACGAATTGACAAACAGATGAGACCCATCAGATGCTTCAAAAGTATCAATCAAAGAAGGCAAAACTCACCAAAACAAACTTTGTTGCTTACCTGTGCAAGGATATGAGAAGGGGGTTACAGCTAGTTCTCCAGATTTCCGAAGTGAACTTTCAATACGTAAGGTCGCCGCTCTGCGCCTCCTTCTGTCCCTCACCTCCATGTCTCCTTTCTGCCCAGGAGTCGCGGATGCCATGGATCCACCTGGGAAGACGCGCTCCGACCTTCCTCGTCGTCACCAGCGACCCTCTCCTCGTCGCCCATCTCTGGATCCGCCTCCCCAACCCCTACCGCGCACGGATCTGGACCCTTCAAGCTCCAGCATCCACCGCTATTCTGCATCTAGCAGCCGCGCCGCCCCTAGTCACTCGAGCCGCCACGTTATCCGGCCCAGATTAGTAAAAATATTCTCTAATTAGTCTGATGAATAAGTTCCCGAATCCATGCTACCTTGGAAAAGGAATGCTGGAAATTCTGATTCTGTCATGACCCTTCAACAATTGTGTGCTACTTAGATACCGGACACAAGCACTAACTGTCCTTGAGATGCATCAAACTTTTAAAAAGTAATTTGAAACTTCATATAATATATTTTTTGAAACTTTGGACCATCATTGCAAGACAAAGCTTATATGGATATGCCGAACCATCCACATAAGTGGGGGCTGCATACAGAAAACAAATCACAGAATCAGTTAACAAACTACAAGCTTCTGCACACAGGAAACTGCAATGGTTAAGCTTTTGCAGTGAAAACACATACTAAAAGACATTGATGGACTAATTAATGGTTATGATTTAACATTAAACAGAAAACATCGAATGTGCTGGCATGAAAATAACTGAAAATGGTTATGACTCCATAACACATGATCACAAGAGCGAGGAGCTCACTAATGTGATGTCAAACAACACTCATGAATTGTGATGTTTACTAATAGAGCTTGTATAGGTGTTACTTCTGATAGTGATGGCCAAACTGGCATTAGAGTTGCATGAGCTAAATGTTGTTAACCAAATCAGTATTAACAGTAGTATCCAGTCTTTATACAGAAATAGTTTGGATTTGCATAATTAATTCTTTCCATGTAGTAGAGTCGGCCAACTTAAGATCATTGACAAATCACCATGTAGTCCTATAGTTTCTACAACCTAGAAATTGTGGATCCACACAAGTACCAAATACAGTGCCCACACGTAGGAAGGAGACTTGGGGAACCAATAGTTACCTGCAGGCGCAAGGTGCAAGCATCCACTCTGTCAATGTAAAGCTTGCACTTGGGGCAGCTCTGCAAACCCGATGCACTCGACATCACTGTACACCTTGAATTGCACGCAAGATATTCAGTTGCAATGTTACAAAGAGATTCCACCGTGTTGCATTATACCAACCAGAAATGTCAATACTCATTGCAAAAGCATTATCCTTAACAGCGATGCGTCCATAAGGCATCACCAATCTTATTGTGTTATCTTCTAAAATGTAACCCACTGACCTACACTTTCCGAAAGTAGTGACCAATTCACACTGACATCTGCGGAATCGAACAGAAAAAACAAATTCAGTCTTATACAACCTGAATGCAATATGCAGTGATATTATATGTAGAGAATCAACTAATGTGCTCTTTATTTTACAAGCTTATGCTTAGTCCTATTTAGAGTGAAACCACCATTAATATGGCCTAGTTATTTCTTTATTTGTATTCTTTATCTAACTTGCATGATGTGGTACATCTAGGTTGAAAAATATCACCACGACTGAAAGTACATGTTTACAAAGGGAACTACCACAGTGTGGATCTTCGCAATGTGATAAGCCAGGCCAATTCTTGAGAACTATATATGATTTTTTTTCTTGACAGTGTAAAACTAAACCAACCTCTAAACAGTAGGAGAAGTGTAAACATAATTGTTTGGGGAAATTTTCTACTTTTGTTCTGATCTTTTTTATTTTACTAAGTGCATTCTATACTGTGAGTTAAATTTAATTTATATAAGTGAGAAACTTCTATGGCATAAGAATATTCATCAGAAAGTCATGGTTCCTAGTATCTTCCATACATGGTGATAATATTGATTCGAAGTGGCATGGTGTGTTCCTCAGTTGAGTACCTGGGGCCATTAATATGCAAAAATAGAAAAGGAGTAGTTGATAGTTCTTATTAAATAACTTCAATGGTGCATCAAGATTGTTTCCGATTGAAATAAAAATATAAACATTCAAATAAAGGTTATCCCTTGACTCCAGAAATAAAAGGCTGAAATTAGCATCGGCACTGATTGTTTTAATGTATGTCTATACAATGTTAATGCTTTAGTTAGTTCCTGATTGTGAACTCTAATGTTAATGCTTATATCAGCACCTTATTTCCTCATTCAAGAGTAACCAATTTTCTGAATATGAGCAACTTGCATTAGACTATAAGGAGCATGTGATTCAACATAGCGATGAAGACCTACGGCAAACCAGACTGAGACACCCCCTGCATGAGTAGCAAATCGAGTAAATAAGAAAGTTTTATACCCACAGTCAGATCTAGTCTGGAAAATAAGAATAATGACAAGCTTACAAACATACGAAAATCCTGGAAACCACATGGACAACAATTAACCAACCAGCCACATGTAATTCAGATTAGCACAAAAGGGAACCGGCACACTCTCAGCTCACATATCAATCCACTGAAAAACATCTCATTTCAGAAATAATCAGGGGGTGAAGTACACTATGATCTTTACCTTGTACGGACTGAGCCTTGTAAGTACTGGAGATCTTTGTAGACTTGTCATACTGGCTCCTAGTAGTCAGCCTGCCTTGTACTCAGCCTGTGGATGCAACAACCACCATTGTTTTACTTGCACTTGCATAGCTGGATTTGTACACAACAGTTGGAGTCGTTCAGATTATGCTCGGCTAGGTAAACACACACCACTTGGTCACCTTTCCTGGAGCCTGGCTCAATTGAGAGCACATCACTTTGCAGAAGAATCACTTCTTGAGTCACTACACCAGAAAGAACTGATGAACAGAACGAAAAAAAGCACTCAAATAGCCGTGAAACAATTTCAAAAAAACAAATCCGCCACACAGCATGCTAGCAACCCTGGTTGTTCAGAAATTCAGTAAGATAGATTGAACAGAGATAAAACGGTAAGCAATTAGGACTATGTGGAACCAAGAATTGAATAATTTATTTCCTGTTTGCAGAAAGGCGTTTTCCAGCTGAAAAGAATTCAGTTAGAATTTCATGTCGTCATACTCCCACAATAAGAACTTACATGTCATTTTCAGTATAACTATTTTATGAGCTTACATATAAAAGCACAAAAATGAAAAGGGTACAAAAATAAAAACAGCACATATATACACTGTCTGTGTTTGGAAGGATATCAATTCACAAATAAAAATAGATCTATTCATGGACTTGTTCATGTAGTAGCAGAATTTCGTTCAAAAAAACTGGACTTGTGCTAATGGGAGAGATTGAGAGCAGACGGGGTTGCTTGCCCTATCTTGGCGCAGCAGAGGCGTCATCCAAGGTGAGGAGGTGCTGCTGGCTAGGGTTCCTCCCCGCTGACCTGCGCAAGAAGGGAAGGAACCAAGATGGGGAAGGGACGGGAAAGGGAGCGGATGAGATAGGAACATGATAAAACCATGAGGAGCTGCAGGTCCATGGCATCCTTCACATCTCCGTGAAGATGCCCTTGACGCCGGCGAAGCCCTGCCTGAAACCCTAGCCATGGGGATGGGGTTGCGAGCGGGCGGTAGAGGCCGGGATCAGAGAATCTGGCTGGAGGGGAGGGAGGAGAGGACCGTTGGGAGCTCAGGGGCATGGTGCGTGGCGCCGGAGCTCACCGGAAGCGGACGGCATGGGTGGTGGCGGCGGCGAGGACATCGTGGGCGAGAGGGAGAGGAGGTGAGCCCGTCCTCCGTGTGTGGTTGTTTTTTTTTCAGTCTGCTCGGCCCACGGGTTGAATACCCAAAACTACAGGGTCTCTTTTGCAAGAACGAAACGTTTTTCT